TGAAAGATAGAAAGCAATGAAATTAATTATATTTAGGAAGAAAAGCTCATTCTTATTTATTATTAGATTATAAAATTTAACGATGATGGACACAATTATACAATTAACCACATAATATTTAGATTAATGATGTTGACAAAAATTTCAGGGCTCAAAAAGATCTCAAAATTTATGTAAGTTTGAATGACACTTTTACATGCTTTAATATCTTTTTCCAATGCATGTCAATTAAACGTATTGTCAAAAGAAAGCACCCCACACCACTTTTAATTTAAATATAAATAAGAAGAATTAAGTTAAAGAAGAATTAAATATTATTTAAGAAATAGTATTAAGCCCGAATAAACATGATTGGAGTTGTTTTGCATTGATTCCCATTGCTTTGCATGAGAAAGCACTGATTCAGAAAAGCATTATTATTATCAAAATTGCTAATAATAATTTAAATCTTCCAATTTTCGTTAAAAATTTGAAGGGCCCTAATCGGTATTTTACATGTTGTTGTTAATGTTTCTAATTACACTTTAACAAACCAAGCTTGCCAGATATTGGCCTTTTGTGAATTAAGTCAGGAGGGAACGCTTTTCGATTGAAGAAAAAGAGCACCGCTAGGGTGAAAGTACGTTTTAGCTCAGAACTCTTTGAATAAATGGCAGAACCACTCATTTGTGAGGTCACTTTCGCAATTTATATATTTGAAAGGGAAGAATTCTTCAGATCTCTGTGATCCATACTACTGCTCAGAAACCGACTACAGAACTTTCGATTCCACAGATTTTGAGGGCACGTGTATCGCATGTACTCAGTAAGTCTTAGCGGAGTCGGGGATCGAACCTCGGCCCCTCCGGACCGAAATCCAATTCTCTAACCACTGGGCTCCCACGGTACGGTTATCTGATTAAAATAAACACGTCTAAGCCTGATCAAAATTTTGACATTCCTCTGGCATGTGGAGCAATACTTCTCAAGACGTGAAAAACTTTTTGAGACAATATAAATTATGAGAAAACTTAAGTGTATAATCGATAACGTTTTTTATTTGCACGTAATATAATAATGTATACTGGTTGTTCTGTAATAACCATCATTAATATATATTTTTAAAATCCTTGTCGAAAACTAAGTAAAAAGAAATGTTATTATGCGAGGAAAAAGCATTTTTGAAAAACATACAAAACCCGTGCTTTTTAACTCCTCTTTTTTTTCTCCGACAACAAACAGGTTTTGTATTTTTCAATCCTCTCTTTCTTAGTAATGATTCGTTAGATTTCGAAAACTTTTTCCATGGACTAAATATTAATTTGAAACTCTTAATGTGTATACTTTTTGTTGACTTTGATAACGATTCTAAAAATACTCATTAAAGATGGTCATAGCAGAACATTCCGTATGATATAATTCAAATCTTCAATACAGTGTTCGAAAAAAGTCCTTTTTTCTTCCAAAAATAGCTTTAAGCAAAATGTATTTTTTATTTCTTTGTATTATTATTTGATTTTATAATGATCGGATATTTCTTCGAATTGTTTGATGCGGCTATTTTTAACGTCATGTCAAGGTTTTTATTTCTTAGCTTTTATAACGATTTATTTTCCTACAATGTAATTTAATGCCTTAAATCATTTTGTCTTCGTGGAAAGCAAATTCTGAGTAAGAAAGCGTAACTTAATTTAGAAATTTTGAAGGACAGTATAAAAATAATAAATCTGATACTGATAATATCATATAACATAATGAAATATTTTTTAAGTATAATTGAAGGGATGTAGGTAGTTCTGATTACTTCGATCAATGCACAATTTTTTGTTTCACTTAAGATTCTGAATTTTTTCCGGGAGCAAAGACATTGTGAAATAATTCAAATAACTTTTATAATTTACTTTTCTCTTGAGCTAAAATGTACAGAAAAAAAAGATAGTATGCTATCTTGAGCTCTCGATAAAAATCATGCCAATAATTTGAATTACCCTTTAATGCGCTCTTTTCAAAATCATACAAGCTTAAAGATATTACAAAATAAAGGGGTTTAAATTTAAAAGAAAACTTAGTTTTTTGAATTTTTATAAAATAATTATTTTGAGCCACGATGGGGATGGAGCGTTCGTCTTCTAATGAGTTAGAATACCAGCGATGGCTGGTCAAGAGGAATCCGGCTTGCACCGACCACAGTAGGGGAGAGTGGGGTCAATTGTAACATTTCTTACTTAACTATTTTTAACTAACAAAAAATCCAATATATTATTAGTATTAATTGACAGACGAGTAAAGTAGACTATCCTCTACTAGAAACAAAAATAAATACCTTATTTTAAATGTTATTATATTAGTTATTAACAATTTTTGACAGTCGTGCACTTGTTACAATTGTCCCCACTTACGGGGTCAATTGTAACAGTTCATAAATTCAACTAAAACATAGTTAATTAAACATATTATTATAGTTGTGATATATTTTTTTATTGATCAAAATAGTAGTGATATTTTAGGAGTAAAAATAATAATGAGCAGAGACCTAAAGGGTTAAACTTTTAACTTTAAGGGGTTAAAAATTTTAATTTATGCTGTGAAAGGTGACAAATAAAATAATGCACATGCAACATAATATAAATGATATAGGAAACTATTGGTGGTTCTTAAAGAGTTAAGTAATGGTTTGTAAACATAAGATTATTTATTTTCAGCTGTTACAATCGTCCCTTTACTTATTGTTACAATTGTCCCCAAGACGCCATTTCAGCTTCATTTGTTAAAAACAATGCTAGTTAATTAGCAAAACTAATCTTTTTTTTATTGAAATGTTAATTAAGGTGTCCACTTACATATTCGGTTACTAATTTTTATTTGTTTAAACAAAATTACTTTGTTACAATATAATATTCTAATACCAAAAAAAGTACTTGCGTGGCGTGAAAATATCTTTTGTGATGTAACTCTTTCAAAAGTACATAAAAATGGTTGCCAGGTGTACGCGTAGATTTATTAAATACTCCCTGGCGCCACCTAGGAACCAAATCTAGAACCCGACACTCGAAATTTTTGCTCTGTTACAATCGTACCCTGTTACAATTGACCCCACTCTCCCCTACTGACGTCAAATATCCTCAGTGCTAGACGGAGTCCCTTTGCCGTCAGGCTAACAGTAGGCAGTTCTCGCTGTCTTCCTCTCCCTGTACCGCAAATGGGGGGTTAGTTCCATCAAAAAGTCCTCTACGAAGGCAAATTTCCCCCAATTTTCATAATTACAAGTGTACGGAGTTGAACATCAGTGGGTAGCCCCCCCCCCCCAAAAAAAAATTTTTTTTTTAACCAAAAAGAAATTATAAAGTATTTACCAATATTCAAGAGCCAGTGTGAATTTAAGCAACATCTTATTTCAAACCAACCACCAAATTTAAACTGAATGGGAATATTATAATTCGATTCAAGATGAAAAAATACGAATTGATGGAGAAAAAAAAAAGAGATTTAAAGACTTGGGTTTAGGCAACATTACTAATTTATAAAATATATGTTTTCTTCCCCGTTAAGTGTGTAGGTTTTTGTATTTTCGATGCAAATTTGGGAGTTCTTTTAAAGCATTATTGTATACTCGATGACAAATTATTTAGATTCTTTTTTTCTTCCGTCTTGAAATGCCAGATCTTTAAAAACAAATAATAAATGAGGTAAGAAATATTACTCAAGAGAAACACGTTGTGAGCTTCGAAATATACCAATAACAGAAACCGTCAAGAGCGCTGTACAAAACACCATCCATAAAATTCAATAAAACAATTTTAAATTATGAAAAATTAATTTTTAATGGGACAGTTCAATATATCAAGATATTTAACATATTTAGCGAAAATTTCTTTTCATAAATTCGATTGAATAAATCCATAAAGATCATACGATAATTCTCGATGAAAAAATTTTAATACAATGACAGATTTATGACACGAATGTCACGTGTTTTCTGAAACTGAATTTTATACATTCGATTGAAATTCTCCCTCGACTTTTTATATAGTAGTGGGGGATTCAAAGTCTCATTTCCTACCTATTATTAACTTGATTACGATAAAATACTATTATAATCTTCTATTTATTTCGTGTTATCGTAAGACCATTTTTATTGTATATGAACATTTCGAATATTTCAATATTTCATGAATATTAAACTTTAAATTCTCTTAAAATATTTAACTTGGGTAATGATAAAAATTTCACAGTATGAGATTTATTATATTTCGGGTTTTAATTACTGAACTTGCATAGTAATGGAAACGAAAACTGTGGTACTTCAATGTATTATTTATGTTTACTGCTTTCGCTTCATCAAGCAGTGGTCGTAAAAACAGTTAAAAAAGTTTTTTTAGGACGTTGTCCAAAAACGAAAATTCAGAGCAAAATTTTGATCTATGTATGTTATGTTAGTCGAATCATATGGGCAACTACATCAGAGATATAGTCATAAAAAAGTGATTCTACGCAATGGACTAACACTGCACCTGGAATTTTATACGAACTAACTAAAGAAAAAAAAATACCTGGAGTGTGTTAGGAAGTAATCGCTTTTAAAAATATATTAAATTAAGGAAGGAATTAAGATAAAGTTTCACTTTTATTCTAAATAATGTAAGGAAATATGTATATTTATTTGAATAAATGGCTAAAGTAAGAGTTTAAAACTTGGAATATTTCTTGGAAAAACTGAAAAAAACTATGTGGGTTTTGAAATTAGGAGTTAATAATAAATAAGACAATTTACACGTAGGTGTAACTTTTTTAATTTATTCATTTGTATATTTTTTATTTGCGACAAAAACATTTTTTTCTTGGCTTGTAAATATTTTATTGTGTAGTGGGTTGATAAAAAATAAAAGTTGTATAAATCAAGAAAGATGTTCTATTAATGTCTTATTTAAGTGAATTACGAGTAATCTCGGCATAAGAATGATTGGTAGGTTGAGTAGAAAGAAAAAAAAAATTGTCAAGGAAATTCGTCTCCATTCGTTCCGCCCAAAGCCAATTGCTAGGCACTTTTGTTGTCGACTAGGCTTACAACCCCCTTGGTATATATTAATTTCAATTTTCATCATTCCCCCCTCAAATGAGAATGTGAGGAGTGTTTTTACGAGGGGAGGTGGAGAGAAAGAAAAGTCACGTGACCTAACAAGACATATAAATCGCCTCTCATGCCCTAAAGTGTCGCCACTTCTTATTCCAGTGACATCTGAAAAGGTATTCCAGTTTCCGGTTCAAGAGTTTTAAAATTTCATTTTTACCGCTGATTTGGAAAAGAAAAGCTCTCCTTAAATCGGGCTCCGGCGCATCTCCCGGATTGGAGAGAGACCATCTCCTTCCAGTTGCTCACTTACTTTACACAATGATGGTAATAGCTTATACAAGTTTACTTTTGCTATGCTCCAATGGTGAGTTTTGTTTTTTTAGAAATTCTTCATTAAAAGTTGCAATTAAAATTATTATTTAGATTAAAATAATTAGTTCGAATAATTGTAAAAATACAGCAAATTTACTGAATATTATTTTTGACGATGTAAAAATTGAAACTGACTATATTTATTTAGTAAAACGGTTCTAAAAAAAGGTATTATTACGCTTAAAGAAATTTCTTTTTCTTTCTTTTGTTATGCTCGAATGATGAGTTCTCTCAGAACTTCTGGATTAAAAGTTACAAAAAAAATTATTATTTAGATTAAAATAATTAGTTTGAATAATTGTAAAAATACAGCAAATTTACTGAATATTATTTTTGGCGATGTAAAAATTGAAACTGACTATATTTATTTAGTAAAACGGTTCTAAAAAAAGGTATTATTACGCTTAAAGAAATTTCTTTTTCTTTCTTTTGTTATGCTCGAATGATGAGTTTTCTCAGAACTTCTTGATTAAAAGTTATACAAAAAAATTATTATTTAGATTAAAATAATTAGTTTGAATAATTGTAAAAATACAGCGAATTTACTGAATATTATTTTTGGCGATGTAAAAATTGAAACTGACTATATTTATTTAGTAAAACGGTTCTAAAAAAAGGTATTATTACACTTAAAGAAATTTCTTTTTCTTTCTTTTGTTATGCTCGAATGATGAGTTCTCTCAGAACTTCTGGATTAAAAGTTACAAAAAAAATATTATTTAGATTAAAATAATTAGTTTGAATAATTGTAAAACTACAGAAAATTTAAAAGGTATTATTATAACAAAGGGAATTTCTTTTTGTTATTCTTGTTATGCTTGAATGGTGGGTTCTTTCAGAACTTCTTGATTAAAAGTTTCAAAAAAAATATTATTTAAAGAAAAATAATCAGTTTGAATAATTGTAAAAATACAGCAAATTTACCGAACATTATTTTTGGCGATGTAAAAATTAAAACTGTCGATATTTACTTAGAAAAACGGTACTAAAAAGGCATTATTACTCTTAAAGAAATTTCTTTTTTAGATATTAACTGGACATAATTTATTTTATTTTAAATTCTATCGATAGCTAAACTAATTCCTTCAATAATTAAATAGTATTTCTATCAATAGTTAAATTTTAACTTATATGTCCAAAAGAAAAGTGTGTTTTAAAATGAAATTGTAAAAATACTTATTTAAATCTAACTAATTTTTTTACTAATGTATACTAGATTTTAGAAATCATCAGAGGAATTATAGAGGAAGAATGGAACAAATGTAAACCATTTAAGCATTTATAAAAACATTAAACAATATTTCTTTCAAAAAATAAAATAATTAAAGCGCTTCTTTTTTTAAAAATAAAAAAAATTGAGGATATTTCTCATGAAATTTGTATATTTCCATCAAAAAATTGAATTGGCGTTTAATATCAGAAAGCATCATTGAATCAACATTAATAATCGAAACATTTTTACTATTCTATTTTAAACCCAGAAGATCTTAAAGTGTTACAATTTGCAAGCGCTATGAAATATTTATTTAAAAAATAGTTATTATACTGTCTGACCTAATAAAAATAATACTAAGTATTATTGAAAAGAATGTTTTTTAAAATTGGTGAAATTGACCATACTTGGCATTAAAAGCCATTTTGTTCCTTTATTTTATGTATATGATATTTTTTTAAATTCAAATATTCGTTGTAAAGCAATTCTTTTCAATGCTTTTTTGAGGACTTTCTGCTTACAAAATAGAAAAATAAATATTTGTTCACTACCGCCAGGAATTTTTAAGTGGCATTCATTTTTCTTTCTTTCTTTTATATATACGATATTGTTTTAAATTCAAATATTCGTTGCAAAGCAATGCTTTTCAAAGTTTTTCTTAGGACTTTTTGCATTAAAAATAGTTAAATAAATATTTGTACACTACCGCAAGGAAGTTTTAAGTGACATTCATTTTTGAAAGTTCGTATTTAATTTATGGGCATCTGAAAAATCTATTTAATTGGAGCAAAATATAATGCAAATGTTTCTATCTTATGTTGCCAAATCCGCTAAATAGAAAGATCTTAATTAGTTGTTTTATGATATTTAAGTATTTGCACTTTGGATAGTTTAAAAGGTATATTTAAAAGGTGCTTTTTAAAAGGTAGAACAATAACGATAACAGCTGCTAATTCTAATAATGTTAGGTGCCCTAGATATACTTTTTTATCTCAATAAAATTAACTTTATAGTAATTCTTTTCACCAGATTTTCCTATACGTGAAAAATACGTACTTCAAATACGTAAAAAAATAAGTTTATTCAGAGAAAATGCGTTTTTGCGTCTGATAATAGTTAGCACTAATTAATTAGCATATTTGAAGTCTCCCCAGAAACCATTAAGATTGACACGTGAAAACCCGGTCGTAAGAACGAAGGGTATCCAGGGTGATATCTTTTTTTGTTGTACTGTACAGTGCACAAACCACCCTGAATAACTTTTGATCCCTAATGATCAGATTTTCATGTACCAGGACTCAAACATAATAGTTCGAGAGGTTGGTCTAAGCTAAAGAAAAGGAGGTTGGTCGAGAGATAGGTGTGCATGGAAACGATGCAATTGAAACAGTAAACCGTGTATAATATTTTCAAATCCAGATAATAGAAATTTTATTATACATCTCTCATGTATAAATAGATTTGAGAAGAAATGTAGAAATCGTGTTCAAAGCACTGAAAAAGGTCATTCTAAAAGGCTCATGTTTAATTCATCACTTTATCATAATGCATTGGAGGCTGTTAGTGAAAATGACATTTCGTTGGGCACTAAGGATATTCGCTTTCTGTCGTTACTGTTTATTATCCATTGAAGAATTTGTGATATGTCTTTCTTCAAAATATGGCCCACCTGGGAAACTCCGTGCAAGTGCGCTGAACTAGCACACCATCGAAGGGTAAATGTACAGTGTGTACAAAAATAAATGGATCACCCTAAGGTAGGTTACATTATTTACGTCACACAAGAGCTGCACAATGGGCTATTGGCGATGGTCGGAGAAACATCCCTGAGGATGATCCGAAGACATGCCATCGCAATTTTGATCCTCTGCAGAGGGGATGGCTTCTCTACTTTGGTAGCCAGACGACCTGCTCGCGAAGTCGAGCACTTTACGGTGGAACAGTTTAACGAGGACCGAAACCGTGCACCCTCGGTAAGCAGGCTGATCAAAGTGGTCATCCACCCACTTACTGACAGCAGCCAGTGATGCACGGGGAACCGTGTCTTTACGGTCAGTCCACTGTGACACGTATCACCCCAAAGAACTCTTAATCTCATGATTGGATTTTCACCTTTTAAGTTTCAATCTAATAGGTTTGGGGGGGGTGACTTCAAATATTCTAATTATTTAGTTCCAATGATATTTTAAATTAAAAAATCAGACACAAAAGCGCACTTTCTCTGAATAAACATACCTTTTTTCGACTGATTCCAAAAATATAGAAATGTAGCAGCCATCTGAGAAATATGGTCTCAATAGTTGAGACTATTGTATTGGACAGTAGCCGGATATTATGGTTATCTGGCAGCAAGCTCAAAATAAGCAGTGAGGAAAAATGCATAAATAATTGCATACGTAAATTAAATAATGTTTAGTAAATAACTTATTGTTATGCTAGATGCCATTTTATACTAAAAATTATACTTTTAAAAAATAAACTTTTTAAAAATAAACTTTTTAAAATTCTACATTTATGAACTAGAGCAGACTTAATACTGATATGAAAATATCCACCGAAAAATTTTTATCATTGTTATTTTAACAGTTATAAGATATTGAAAATCATATTGTGGGTTTACATTACTATGAATAAATTCACAGATGTATAGTGCACCAAAAAAATAAAATAAAACAGATCACCCTTATTAACACGCAGTCATAATGGCTCGAGAGGGTGACGAAATCAGACTCAAAAACGTACTTTCTCCGAATAAACATACCTTCTTTTCGACGGATTTCTGACCCCCAAAATATCGGGGGTAGTAGCATTCTGGCGAATATCGTCCCTACAGTGTGGTCAGGAGAGCGGTCTAAACCATGGAATTTTACTTTTCGCCTACTTTTTAAATGAATTGAACATTTTTTGCACTCACACAGTTACAAAATTCGTTTATCGAAAGATAATTCCATGCAAAAAATAGATTTTAGTAGATTATATTTTATAATTTTATTTAATAATAATCGAAAAATTATACAATATTTTTACGTAATTTTTAAGAATGCAAAAAAAAAAAAATTTTCTTTTGGAAAGGGTAAAATTTTAGAATAAAAATTAATCTCTGCTCTAATTTTGAACTCTAAATATTGTATAAACACGTTTTTTATAAAGATTACGAGGTAATGAAGTAAATTTCACAAAATAAATTTAACGCTTAGTAATAATGCTAAATTAAATGCTCAATAAACCACAACAGTATTTATTTAACCATAAAAATTTTATTATATATACAATTTTTGTGCTTAAATGCTGTGATTTATTATACATTTTGGTCAGACTTTTTGGAATTTAAATCCCATTTAGTGTAATTTTTTTACTACGTCAATTTACAGAAATCCTTATCAAAACTCAGAATAATGTCAAAACAAGAGTTTTATTATTAATAAAACAATTTTATAAATAATGCTAATTTTCAGGAACAAATGATGGATTTGTTGGTGAGTCTTATCAAATGTTGATAAAATACGCCTAACTGCACGTAAATTTAGAAATCGGTCGACTGTTAAATTACTCAACATCCATAGATTTTGTTTCACTGAATTTCGATTAACTCCAGTTGCCTTCTCTAAGACAATTAGTGAAATCTATTTACTTACATATTTATCTAAAAAAACAATTGTTTTTTAATATTCTTTAAAGCATATTTTAATAAAATAATATTCTGAATTTGCCTGATTTTCTTTTTACAGAATTATTATGGTTTTTAATCATTTATTCTTAACTTTATAAACATATTACTA